AAGTCCCACCTGCCTGGGCCCGCTCAGCCGCAGCGACATGCTAGATACTTCCTAGCGTCTCCCCTGGTGCCCATCCACTCGGGCGTCTCTGCCCCTGTACCTCCCAGGCCCCACTTCGGGCAGCGGGTCTCAGCGCCGCCCTCCCTCCCGGCCCGCAGGTGCCAGGCAACCAGCGCTATCTGAAGGGTCCTTAACGGCGTCGGATTCTGTATGAGAAGCCGAGTCATTTTTCGGGAAAAGCAGTGACAGCGGGAGACGGGCTTTACCACTGTGCCAGCCGGCAAAGGCGCGGAGTCGTCGGTGGGGTAGAGCCGGGCCACGGGGCAGCGGAGGAGGTCCAGGCCGCCGGGCACCAGGCGGCAGTAGTCCTGCACGCACTGCAGCCACCACCACACGGCGTCCCGGCAGTTGTACCTGGCACACGTGCCTTCGCCCAGCAGGTTGGGGATGAGCCCGTGCCGCAGGGTGCCGGCGAAGGCCAGGATGATGTTCCTGCAACAGCAGAAGCACGGGGCTCACTGGACAGGGCCACGAACCACCCCGGGAGGAACCCAGACAAGAACGTCCCCCGGGGTGCCGGTCATGGGGTGCGCCTTCTCTCCTGCCCTAGTTCTTGGGGTTTTCACGGAGGAAGTGGTCAGGGCAGACAAGGAGCACTGGGTTAGAGGTCAGAAGCCCGCTCACAGCCCTGGCCTTGTCGCTGACTATCGGTGTGGCTGACCTGCCCTGGGACAGGGTATCACCTGTAGAGTCAGGGATGCGGCTGGGAGATTTGTGAGCTATAGAGTCTCCTTTTGAAATCCCTGGTATTTCAAACATAACACACTCTCTATTATTTAAAAAAATATATGTGTATTGATTTCAGAGAGGAAGGGAGAGGGAGAGAGAAACATCAATGATGAGAGAGAATCATTGACCGGCTACCTCCAGCACGCCCCATACTGGGGATCAAGCCTGCAACCTGGGCATGTGCCCTGAACAGGAATCGAACCAGTGACCTCCTGGTTCCTAAGTTGATGTTCAACTACTGAGCCGCACTGGCCGGGCTGCACTCTATTCTTTTAAAGAGCTGATATGAAGAGCAAAGCAAACATGTAAGAAAATAAATGGGTAAAAGCTGACCTTAAAGAACATGATTAATTTTCAAAAACCAGGAAGAGATACTTTATATTTATTTATTTATTTTTGTTTGTTTGTTTTTTGAGATACTTGATCTTTAAAGTGGCAGTGGGTGGCATGGCATTCTAAAAAGAACAGAAAACTAAGAAATAAGCAGGCAGGTTTCAATTCTAGTGTTACCACCGGTATGCCTCGGAAAGGCATTTACCATGTCTAGGCCTCAGGGCGTTTTGGCTAAACCACTTAGAAATGTAAAATTCTGTATCTCAATTTAATGCCCATCTCTTATATCACAGCACAATAGGAAACTTCGTATTTTCCACAGTGAAAAGGTGTTCGTGTGGACAGTGACGCTTCTGATGAATAAGAGCTGAGCTCGGCCGGTGCAGCTCAGTGGCTGAGCGTCGACCCTGCACCAGGAGGTCACAGTTCAATTCCCGGTCAGGGCACAGGTCTGGGGCGTGGGCTTGATCCCCAGTAGGGGGCGTGCAGAAGGCAGCTGACCAATGATGTTTCTCTCTCATCATTGATGTTTCTATCCCTCTCTCCCTCTCCCTTCCTCTCTCTCTCAAGATCAATAAAAACATATTTTTAAGAAAGAGCTTAGCGTGTGAGCGATCTTCCCCATGCAGAGCCATCCCTACGCTTGAAAGTTGAACACAGAGACCTCTGCCCATGGACATGTGTCCAGGCGTCCCCCCAAACGGCTTTCCTTCACGTCCCCCCACCTCACAGCTGGCTGTGGCCACAGGACGGCGTTCAGAGGTGAAAGAACAAAAATGGACTGAGGTGTGCTCAGTGCGTGAACGGAGATAAAGGAGCAGATCTGACAACAGCCTGGCCTGCATGGTGAAGCACTAACCTCACAGATGTGCACAACTTTAAACCCTATGAACACGTGGAAAATGAAAATAAAACACCGAATGCTGAGAGCAGACGCATGAGAAGGCAGGTCCGAAGAGCAGGAGAGGAGCGTTCAGACAGACCTGCGCCTTTTCTAGGCACACCTACCTGGCCTCCATGTAACGCCCCGTGAGCAGCAGGAGGCCTCTCAGTGCGATGAAAGTGTCCCGGCCCCAGCAGCGGAAGATTCCAGAAGAAAAGTGAGGCAAGCCTAACCAAAAACACACCAAAGTCATATGTTAATCCACATTATCTTGTCTGTCTGTCTTCCTGCTTGTTGAAGCCAGAACTCTCTCCTCTATCTATCTATCATCTGTCTATCTATCTATCTATCTATCTATCTATCTATCTATCATCTATCTATCTATCTATCTACCTATCTAAAAGCCTAATATGCAAATTGTCCCCTCGGGAGTTCGACCCAGAGACGGGGAGTTCGACCCAGAGACGGGGAGTTCAATCGCTTGCTATGACGTGCGCTGACAACCAGAGGGCGGTGCAGAACAAAGGAAGGCTCTGGCCAGCATGGGGAAGGGAGGCCCTGGCTGGCAGCCGGAAGGCCCCGATCGGCCCTGATCGCAGGCCAGGCCTAGGGACCCTACCCGTGCAAGAATTTCGTGCACCGGGCTTCTAGTAGAAAATAAGATCCAAGCTAACAGAAACCCCACTGTCTCGTTTACCAAAGTTCATTGAGAGCATAGGCCATTGTAACTGGCTCAGGTTTCAATGCCCTTGCAGGAAAGAATGCCAATAACAACACAGTTAAAGCACTTGATGGCAGCCAGACACATAGTAACAACTTATTTAATGGACGTTTTGTGTTTTGCAGTCTGTAGAGAGCCTTTTCATGATTTCTTGGTCATTATAAGGTTGGGTTAATTTTTAAAAATTGGGGAAGAAGTAGAATATGATGGAATAAAGGTAGTAAAACATATTTCATAAAAAATACAAAATGGCAAGAGTTGAAAATTACAGAAACATGCAGGAGAAAAAGATTAACCAGCCACATTAAAAAACGCACGTAACTATAAATGCCCGTGGCACAGTAATAATTACACGGGAAGCACGGTTATAATGTTTACAAGTGACCCTCAGTGAAATCTTGCTAAGCAGCCACATAAAAATCTTGGATAACGTCATGAGTGTTTTTTATTTCCATTTTTAACAATAAAGATAAATTAAAAAAAATAAAAGTAACAATCTCTTCCATAGCTTTTCCTCTTTGAGTTATTCTGACGTACACAGTCCCACCTCATACGCACGCCTCACCTGCTGCCAGAGATACACAGCACTGCTCCCGCTCTCGCGTGGCCTCGTTCAGCCTGTAGGGCACATCGGGCAGGGCCGGGGAGAGCCGGGGCAGGCAGGGGAACCTCCCCACCCCGCACATCTGCACCGAGCCCAGCGAGAGGTGTTTCACGAAGGTAGAACCATTCTGGACGAAGCTGCAAGGCAGTGGCAGGGTTGAAAGTATTGTTTGTAGACACACAAACATTTTATTATTTACTTATTTTTTAAAATATATATTTTTATTGATTTCAGAGAGGAAGGGAGAGGGAGAGAGAAACTTCAGTGATGAGAGAGAATCATTGATTGGCTGCCTCCTGCATGCCTCCTACTGGGGAGTGAGCACACAACCCAGGCATATGCCCTGACCAGGAGTCAAACCAGTGACCTCTTGGTTCATAGGTCGATGCTCAACCACTGAGCCACACCGGCCGGGCAGAACACATTTTAATATCTAAGCTTTTGTATGCTCCAAATGACAGGAGGCTAATACTGTTACGACCCACTTACAAATGCTCTCGGCTCTCTGCGTCTGTTCTCTCTACCCGGTCTTCTCAGAGCACGTATAAACAGACCGCACAGGGCTTCTGCACAAGCATGCCTATTCCCAGGCTTTGGGAGTACCTGGACATCTGCTTCCAGGCTGTGTCCAGGAGCGTGGTGTAGGTGCCAATCAGTATGGCGTCGAAGTAGCACGGGATCAGGTAGCGTGGGATCTGCTTCAGGTAGAAGAACATGGCCTGCAGCCACTTACCCACCTGCAGGGGACATGATGCAAAAAGCGCATGGGGCATGTCTGCAGGCCAGCTGTGGATTAAAAGGCAAATCCAAACCTGCAACTCTACTGACCAGTTATCTACCAACCAGGTGCCCGTTTATTAGAACTGAGAGATAATGGGAAAATGTTTCAGGGTAGCAAGCCATGTAAATATTATACATATGACATGGTAACATGTCTTACTGTGCGCTTGTTCAGTATGCAAATACTAGAGGCCTGGTGCACAAAATTGGAGCACAGGTAGGGCCACTGGTGATCAGGGATGATTGGGGCCTTCCTTCGCTCCATGCAAATCCCTGGTGGTCAGCGCACGTCATAGCGATCAATCTCCTGGGCAAACTCCCCTGGGGACACTTTGCATATTTTATATATATATATGTATGCCTAAGCGACCATTACAACTGAACAACCAAATGAACGGTTGGCCAGTTGCTATGACGTGCACTGACCACCAGGGGGCAGATGCTCAATGCAGGAGCTGCCCCCTGGTGATCAGTGCCCTCCCACAGCCAACCTCCCATGGCCGGCCGGTGGTGTC